TCCCCCGCCCCGGCGGTGCGGTGTCCGCGGGCCGCCAGCACCCAACGCGCCTCCCGGGGCCGCCCGAGCGCCCGCCCTCCTCCTCCATCCGCAGGATAACGCTTGTAGGGGACGGATCCTCTTCCTGAAGCCCTTGTTTGAATTCTGGCAGAGTGTAAATCACCTGCCCCGAAACAATCTGCGCACACCACACTCTCTCTCATAGCTGAGGGTGAACTCTTCGCCCTCCCACTTGGCAACTCTAGAATGGTCGTGAAAAGGCCACGCTGTCCTGTCTCCCGCGTGCCGCTAAAATTAATAGACTGTGCCTGGAGTTGGCACGGGAATAGACACAGGGAAACAAAATTGGATGGTTAAATTCAAAGACAAAGAAGTTCCCCCTGCCTAATCCTGCCTCCTCCCCCCCAAAATCAGCCGGGCAGACTGAGTAGAGGCGGTGGCGGCCACTGCGCGTCGGAGGCAGGGAGACGAACCGCGCCAGCCTGGGAGAGTGGAGCACAGGCGGCTCCATCCACGCCTCCATCCACCCTCAGATCAGTACACCCAGAAACTGTGTTTAGATGTTACAAAAAGCCTTAAGCCATACGTAAACTTTGTCTTTGGAATAATACACATACCGCAAAAATAAGCATAATTGCCTAGTAACGTCTTTTTGTAAGCCTATATTTTATGTATTTTGACATTACTTGATGTATTTTCACGAGCATTTGCCCGTTTTATCACAGAGATTTTCCAAGGTACTGCTGCTGTCGCTGCTCCCTTTTCAGGTGAGGTGCTGAGGCTCTATGAAGTTAAAGGGGGTGCCCAGTCTCTCACCAAGTCCCTGGTCGGTCTTGTCTTATTTGAAGCCCTGTGTTCCTTACGTGGATACCATAACCACTCTTAGCAGATGGAAATTAATGGTGAAATCATTTTCCCATTAATCTTGGGAGATCCTGGTTTCCCTAACTCTTCATATTGTCCGGGAAATGAAAAGAATTTAAAAATTATTTACAAACTTCATTTTGCCTCATATTAAAAAAAAAAAAAAAAAAAAAGACCTAGGCTGGGCGCGGTGGCTCACGCCTGTAATCCCAGTGCTCTGGGAAGCGGAGGCAGGTGGATTACTTGAGCTCAGGAGTTCTAGACCAGCCTGAGCCAGAGTGAGTGAGACCTCATCTCTAAAGATAGCAGGGCTTTGAGGAGGGCGCCTGTAGTCTGAGCTACTTGGGAGGCTGAGGCAAGAGGATCGCTTGACTTTGAAGGTTGCTGTGAGCTATGACACCATGGCACTCTACCCAGGGGAAGAAAGAGAGACTCTGTCTCAAAAAAAAAAAAAAAAAAGTAGTCCTGATCATATAGCACTATGAGGGCTGTAATTCAGACTGACTCAGATTGATTTTCAGAACAAGTCTGTTCGGTTTTTTCACCTTTCTTAGCTTAGATGATATTCTGTTTAGGTGTAAATGATTGTTAGAAAGTAACAATGGGTTTTGCCTTCTTTCTTTGCTGCTGTTGGGAAATCTCTGTAGAGCTTGAAAAACAAAAATAACTATTATTGGGTTATGTAGTGTTTAAAGGAAGAAAAACAATGTTGCATTTTCAAATACAATTTAACCACATGCATTAGTCACAACACTAATTTCATTTATTTTGGGTTTGAACCCACCACCTCCGGCATATGGGACTGCGCCCTACTCCTCTGAGCCACAGGCACCACCCCACTAATTTCATTTTAATTTGTGTTTTGTTTGCTGTCATTTAAAAATGTTTTGCACTTTTTATTTACTAAAATGTTCTGTTTACAATGAAAACAATTAGGAAGAAATAGTGACATGATGTACTTTTTAAATCTTCCCCAAACTTTTGTCTTATTACTTTGAATTCATCTCAACCCCTATTGAGAAAATGTTTTTCTACAATAATGTCATTTGAAAAGCAAAATAATATTTGATGTTACTTTTAGATACAAGCTTTATCCAAAGCATTTGGCTGAAAATACATACCAAGTGCAATTTTTCAATTAATAAAATTACAGTGTACTTATACATTTTTTATAGATTTAAAATTTTAAGACCATTTCATGATTTACACAGCAAAGGAGGCCAAGCTAATTTCTCCCTGGTTACCTTGAAAAATTATTCTCATTTTTTATTTACAAATATTTGGCTTCCTTGAAACTTTACTTCTCCCACTGCAGTGCTTGATGTAGCCAAGTGGACTTGGTACACACGACAGGCTTCACGACATTAGCACAGAATTAATGTTAGCTTCTGCTCAGTCTACACCAATGCCCTAAATGGATTGCATTTCAGATCATTTGTCTTTCTCTTCTTTCAGCAATTTTGCCTTGTCGTATTTTAAGTTGTCTGCCTTTAGTTAGTCACCTTGTATAAAGAGTGACTTTGAGGATCTGAGGAGTGACAAAATAAGAAGCTGGCAGTCGAATTCCGTTTGGTACTTTTTGTAGTTACTACAGAGTCTGAACTGTGCAGGTCTGAAACAACACCGCCCTCTAGTGATCTGTAGGATTATAACATGCTGCATACTATGTTAAAGAGACTTTCTAAATGACTAATGTGTGCTTTGCTTAGAGAATCTTTAATTTCTCCTCTAGAGATCCACTCATTAAAACTTACTGTAGTCACTTTGTTTTCTTTGAATTTACCAACTAGCATTTATGCTTAATCAATAGACCACTAGAGGATTACATTGAATACCCAATATTCAAATGTTTAAAAAAATTAAGTATATATTCACTTACTGTATTTTAACTGAAATTCTGCCCTAGATATACTTTTATACACATATTATTTAATTATATACCTCCTGTACCTTACAGTTTAAAATTTTCTTCATCTATCAATATTTAGCTAGTGTTGAATTTGCTTCTATTCAACTTTAAGAAAAAATTGAACAGAGAAAACAAGATTAATAACCAGTTTCACATAACTAGGCCTTTGATTGCCTCATTATGGGTGGAAGATATCTAATTCTTTCTCCATGAAGCCAACCATTAATTCTAGTACATATATTTCATTCATTCATTAAATATTCAATGAGCATCTACTCTCTGTCAGATACTTTATAGTGTTTAAGGATATATATCCCTTACAGCATTTAGGGATATAAAACAACATATGACAGCTTCTACATTTATGGAATCTACATTTTAGTGCAAAACTCTTGATTTTAAATGCCTAACATTGATTTTAATGGCTTTGTTATCTTAGAATGATTTGCCATAGGGGTAGAATGAAAGCTAAATTTAACATTCAAACATCAATTGATACAATTATCATACAAAGAAATCAAAGTGCTTCGAAGTCTTTGCTAAACCAAACATTTGGTATTCGAGTTTCCTACTTGGACTGCCTTTTCTTCCCATCATTATATGACTAATAAATTTTTATTGAAAACTGAACACTGGTGTGACTGTGTTATAGTGAGTCTGTACTTCATTGACTTTTTTCTTTCCTGAGGTTTACTGATTTTTGGTTTGTTCCCTTTGACAATGAACTTACCTGTATTCAGAAAGCCAATACTGCCCCCCTGCTGTGGCTTGCAGCTACTGGTGTCTCTGCTCGGTTCCCATGGTTTTCCCTGTGGACTCTTTTAGCCTGGCTCCCTGTGAACCGATTTCCTTTTACCTGTGTAATTTGCTGGTCAGCAATGAGCACCACCTTTTTGTGGTTTCTATGATTCTAGGGATTCTCCTATAAAGTGTGGTTGCTCTGCCAGCTTAGGGCTATACCCAGACATTTCAAGCTGCTAAAGCTTCAGCTTTATACCACTAAGCTGTATCCAGTGAGGAATGCACTCCCTTAAGAAAAGTATCAAAGTTGTGCATGCATTCTTCAATAACTTTACCTTTTAAAACTGTTTGGTTTTTGCCTGCTTTCCCCAGGCTCCCTGGGGTCTGTCTCAGTCGCATATAGTTTAAATGAGATTCATGGATTTGGGCATTTCTCACTCATTCTCGCCTGGTTCTCATGCCCAGGATCATCTCTTACTCAAATTTGGAGCAGCTTTTCAAGCCTTGAACTCCAATCTCTTCCACCTGTTGCCAGAAAGGCTCTGATTTTTTTTTTTTTTTTTTGCAGTTTTTGGCTGGGGCTGGGTTTGAACCCACCACCTCAGGCATATGGGGCCACCGCCCTACTCCTTTGAGCCACAGGTGCTGCCCAAGTCTGTGATTTTTTAAAATCACCATTTCCCCCAGCCACAGTCATGAAGGTTGGGGAGCACCTATCCAAAAAATAAACAAATAAATAAAACCCAGTAAGTTCTTAACTCTTACTCCTTTCAGTAGCATTTTTGAGATTAAACTCTTAATTTCTGTATGCTTTTGAATGCTTTCCAATGAATTTAATACTTCTGTAGAAATTAAATGCTTGTGTGTTTTTTTTTTAAATTTTAGCCACTTTTTAGTATTGTTATCTGCAGGGCAGTATGATGTTGGCATAAAGATAGACATTGCTAGGTTTGACTGTGTCTTATCCAAAAGTCAAATATTGAAAATTAGTGACTAATGTGCTGGTACTAAAAGTTGGGATTTTTTTTTTTTTTT